GGCTAGCATTTTACCAAGTAAAGAGCTCTTTGCTCCCCTCCCATTCGTTCTCTTTCCTCTCTTCTTAATGAAACCCTTGGTCCACCGATCACGATTTAAGGAATCACGATCGGGTGGCTGAGACTCACTTTCGGACATGAAAAGATAGAAGTTCCCTTGGCCAAGTGGAAAGATCTTGTAGTAGAGATTTGACGGCTGTGTAGTGGTCGATTTAAAGAGCTCGTTTGGGGCTCTTCCTCTTATTTGTGAGAGGTGAGACCTGAGACCGCGGACAGGCGATCTTGCCCGACGGAGGGGATGGCGAAGATCACGTGGTGGCGATCTCGAGCAGAAGGGAAGTCGAATGAGATCGCACGATGGCGATCTCCATGACAAACTTTTAAATAATATCTGATTTTTTATTATCAACTTCATAGTTCTTTTTTTTTTTTTTTAAATAAAAATTATTATTTTGTCAAATTTTTCCTCTCTCTCTCTCTCTCGGTCTATTTTTTTTGCCTTTAGAAGAAATTTTTTTGGGTACTTATCAACAATTGTTGAATGGTTGATTTTGTTTTTATGGGGGAAGCAAAGGCAACTCAACTTGACTCCTCTCTGGTGGTTTTTGGATGATAATAGACGGTCATCCATGATATTTACATTTATAGCTTCCTTTTCTTGTTTTTAAATTTATTAATTTTTTCTTTCTCAATTTGTATTATAATTTTTCATATAATATTTGATTTTTTAAAAATATTATTGTTTGGTTAAAAATTTTCTTTTAAATGATATTTTTGTAAAAAATATAAATATAAATAACCTTTTTTTTTCTCATATTCTATTTATATTTTAGTTTTAAATATTAAATTTTTTATCAAGCGTAGGTGGGGTCAAAAAGACGCACCTCAGCTTGTCATAAAAGCGCCTCAGCTCGTCAAAAAGACTTTCAGAAACTTCTACTTCTCTCTAAGTCTCTCCACTTTCGCTTTGTCTGGGTATACTTCTTTCTGCCACTGATTACATATGCCTGATTAGGTTTTTTAAAAGTTTTTCATTTTGTTTTTGTTAAATTTTTTTATATCCAGTTAATTTAGTTTATGGTTTCATTTGGATTAAAATCACTGGTTTTGATATTTCAAATGATTTATTTGTGAATGAAAAGTTGTTATTAATTGTATAAATATCCGGAGATTTCTATTCAGAGACTGTTTAGTGGTGCAATTTCTACTACCTTCCCTCTTAGGTTTCAGGTTATGTTAAGATTTTGCTTGCAAAATGTTTACATAGTTTAGATATTATGCTTTTTTTTTTCTTTCATTCGTGTTGATTAATATGGTTAAATTCTGTTGATTGGTTCATTGGTATCTTAATTGTAGGATGTGAGTAAGATTGGCAAGTTCCTGATCATCATGTTGCTCGTGGTTTATGCTATCTTCATCTCTCTTGTATTCTATTTTCTGACTCTCAAGAAAAAAATTTCTTTTTGGGTTCTAATTAACAATTGATAGATAACTGATTTTTTTTTAGTTTGTTTTTGGAGGTATTCCCCAACCCTGCACGTGATGAAAGCTTGATCTTTTGAGCTATTTAGATCTCAGGCATGATGTTGGGGATAATGGAAGTGCCACCTGGTTTCTTCAGGACCTTGCCACTGAGCAAAGTGTTGAAGGATGCAGGGTAACATTTAAATACCAAGAATGGGGACATCATGTTTTAGAATGCAGACCAGTGTGACTTACCCCATCTTCTAGTACTAGGCCACACAATTAGAATACTTTCCCGCATTGTTTATCAATAATTTGAATTCTTTTTCTCTTTCTGATATATGCTCTATGCATGCACGAAGAAATGGGAGAATGGTTAGATGTGTTGTTCCGATATTTGCTTTTAGTTGTTTCTATGACGTGAATGGACTATAATTGACCGTGTACTGCATTTCAGTTGATTGAGCAGACTGGAGTAATTGAGGGCCCTTGATTATTTTACAGAGATGTCCCTGTTGTTATTACAACTTCTGTGGTCAAATGGTATCTCCCAGCTATTCCCAGTCTAAAAAGTTTATTTTGTGTTGCTAGAATTTTGCACTTGGTATTCTGCCGTGCTTTATATTAGTTATATTGTCATTATTATTGGTATTTTCCTTCTTGTTCGTGGAAAACGTTTGGGTGACGATTTATTATCGCTGCTGTACAAGTCATCCCCAATTATGTGCTTTTAACTAGTCTTTGAAATTTGGAACATTTTGGTTGCCTTAGGTATAACTCAAGATTTTTGTCCTGCCAGGCTTTTTAGATTATGTATCTGGTGTGGCTGAAAAGTTTGTTTGTTGCAGTCTGTAAGGCAAGCCTTTTGGTGTGTGTGTGTTTGTGTATGAAAAATGTTGTGTACCATACATATTCCGTGATGGCCAGTAGATATGCTCCCAAATTTCTTTCTCTGACAACTCTAGATAGAGAATGGAATCTTTTCTTTTCTGCATTTTGACGTTTGGTTCAGGTTTGTGCTATAGCAAGATCCTTGGATGTCTATGAATCTCGGGTACAGTTTTTTTCCAATTTCCCTTGTCTGACAGTTTTATTCTTTGTCAATTTTACCAAGTAGAAGAGCTCCTTGCTCCCCTCCCTTTCTTTCTCTTTCGGCTTTTCTTGACCGATACCTCTAGAGGGTCATTTTGCTGAAAATTTCAAGTTTCTGAACTCTCTCCTCCTTCCGACACCCTGCAACCCCCCTCCAACGCCCCTAGGGGATTATCTTTTCCTCTCCTCTTTGGTTGATTTTTTCTTACCGGTTACTTCAACAGGCTAATTTCCCTGGGAAGGCAAGGCAGATAAGCTCAGAATTTTCTTACGGTATTTGTTTATGCTTTCTTCTTCATCATCAAGTTGTTCTGAATTGTTAGAGGAAGCTTATCAACTAATCTTGCTTGTTTATTTGGCAAATCTATGACTGATAACAGTTGGTACAGATGTTTTAATAGTTTCTCATGAGCCAATCTTGATAAAGTAAGTAGTACTTGGAAGTCACTTCGTGACATTAGTTTGTCTTGAACCACAAAAAGAAATTATTTTTGTATATTTTAGAATTAGATGAGGTTTTAAATATTTAAATATAATATGTTAATACATATGAAAAGTTGTTAATCAATTTTTAATAGTATAATTTAAATGATAATTATGTGTCTATAATTTATTTAGTTTAACATATAAAAGAAGAGATTGAACAATTGAAAAATTCTAGATAATACTTTTTGTATTTAAAAAATATTTTTTACGACTAAATAAATTAAATGAATAGCCAGGAGTGGACATCATCATCTGCAGAAAAATCCAGATCTTCTTTCATCATTAGCTTAGCTAAAGTGGAATAGTATGACTGGCTTTCCGGAAAATGAGACGAAACCGGCTTTTTCGAAATGATCAACATGCGCTCAAAAAGACCTCCTAAACCCCCCTGCCAAGTGACCGAGTTTAGTCTGAATTAGCTGTAGAAGTTTATCCTGCTCCGGGCTTACTTCAAGGAAAGATAGGATTGGGCAATTCCGCCGGTTCTGGAGCTTACCTTATTATTATGAAAAGGGGAAAGGGCTTTTTTTTATAGAAGTTGAGTAAGGGGGCGGAGCTTGAGGCTTCTCAGCCGCAGGAACAGGGAACGAATCCTCCAAAAATGGAATGAGTTCACAATGACTATCACAAGAGAGCCGCCCCCTCATCACTGACCGCTATTTTCTTCTTGGATTCTGGGGGGAATTCACAAAATGCTTTCTGGCCTTTCTTTCTATTGATGAAGAGGTGACCTCGTGCTCTTCAAGAAATGAAGGCAAAGGCCCCCCCGAGCCCGAGTTTTCCGGGGATCTTGGAGGGGCACCAAATTTGAAAGTTACTTATTACTTATTGTGGATTTTGATTTGTCGGTTCGTTTTATCTTTATTGGCTACTTTGGCTGTATCTTTGTCATAATATAATGTTGTTTTCATGCCAATGCTCTTTTTAGTTCAATTGGTGATAGTTACTGACTTAAAGTCAATTATGTAAATTAGCGGAGAACTGAACCACACCGGTGACGGGGCAGAGTGAATGCCGCTATGCAAGCCTCCTCGCTGCCGCTTGCGGTAACGATTTTTCTCTACTGTTTTTACACTTTAACAGATCGGTCCTAACCACTTTTGTTTGTAGTCTTGAACCAAACCAATTCGCCTCCATACAGCGAACCAGATGGGTGTTTCAAGAAACCCAAAGCTCCGGCCTGCGGTAAGCACATAAATTTTTCTTTCACTCTCTTTTGTTCTATTTTTCTGTCCCTTGAAAAGAATTTTTTTTTTGGTTCTTATCAACAATTGTCGAATGGTTTATTTTGTGCTTATGAGGGAAAAACAAAGGATTCACCAAAATGAAAAATAGGGTGATGAATTTTTTTATGAAAAGGAAAAGAACAAGTAATCCAGGAAGCAAAGGTAGCCCGAGTTTGACCCCCTCTGATTGTTTTTGGATGGCATTTGATAAATGATTGTCCATGGTATTTACATTTAAATGCTTCATTTCTTTTTTTAATTTATTTATTTTATCAATTGTATACTTTCAATTAATATATGATTTTTTTCTATTAATTTCGTAGCTTTATTTTGTCAAATTTTTTATGTCTCTTATGTTCTTTTTTTTGTCCTTTAAGAAGAAATCTTTTTTTGGGTACTGAAGGATTCACAGAAATAAAAAATAGGGGGGGTGAATTTTTTGCTGAAAAGGAAAGGAACCGGTAATCAATGAAGCAAAGGGAGATCGACTTGACCCTTTGTTAGTTTTTGGATGGTGTTTGACAGGTGATCATCCATGGTTTACATTTAAAAGCTTCCTTCATTTTTTTTAATTTATTAATTTCTTTTACAAACTTCAAATAATAATTGATTTTTTATTATTGATTTCATTGTTCTTTTTTTTTTAAAAAATAAAAATTATTATTCTGTCAATTCTTTTTTTTCTCTTTCTCTCTTTTGTTCTAATTTCTGTATCTTAAGAGGAAAATTTTTTTGGGGTACTTATCAATAATTGTTAAATGGTTTATTTTTTGTTTATGGGGTAAAATGGAAGGATTCACATAAATTAAAAATAGAGGGATGAATTTTTTGATGAAAAGGAAAGAAACAGCTAGTCGAGGAAGCAAAGGTTGACCGACTTGACACCCCCTCTGGTGGTTTTTGGATGGCATTGGATAGATAGCCATCCATGGTATTTACATTTAATAGCTTCTTTTGTTTTTAAATTTATTTATTTTTCTTTATTAATTTGTATTATAAACTTCTAAATAATATTTGATTTTTTATTATTGATGTTGTATTTTTTTTTAAAAAAATTATTGTTAAATGAAATTTATTTTTAAATGATATTTTTGTTAAAAATATAAATATAAATAGCTTTTTTCTTTTCTCATTATCATTCTATTCATATTTTATTTTTAAATATCAAACTTTTTATCAAGCGTAGGTGGCGTCACAAAGGCGCAACTTAGCTCCTCTATATAATCGCAAGACTTTCTGAAACTTCTACTTCTCTCTTACTCTCTCCACTTTCGCTTGGTCTAGGTACATTTCTTTATGCCATTGATTACATATGCCTGATTAGGTTTTTTGAAAGTTTTTCGTTTTACTTATGTTCAATTTTTTCATATCCAGTTAATTCAGTTTATAGTTTCGTTTGGATCATCTCTAAATAGACAACTTTCCACTCATCTAATTCTCCCCTGAACGGCGCCGAGAATGGCGCCTCCGCATCGATCTGGGTGTACCTCACTTGATATTTCAAGTGATTTATTTGTGAATGGAAAGTTATTATTAATTGTATAAATGTCCGGAGATTTCTATTTAGAGATTCCTTTGTTTAGTGGCGCAATTTCTAGTACCTTTCCTATTAGGTTTCAGGTTAGGTTAAGATTTTGCTTGCAAAATGTTTGCATAGTTTAGATATTATGCTTTTTTTTTTTTTCATTCGTGTTTATTGATATGATTAAATTCTGTTGATTGGTTCATCGATGTCCTAATTGTAGTATGTGAGTAACATTTGGCAAGTTCCTGATCATCATGTTCCTCCTGGTTTATGCTATTTTCATCTCTCTTGTGTTCTATTTTCTGACCCTCAAGAAAAAATTTTCTTTTTGGGTTCTAATTAACAATTGATGGATAACTGATTTTTTTTTAGTTTGTTTTTGGAGGTATTCCCCAACCCTGCACGTGGTGAAAGCTTGATCTTTTGAGCTATTTAGATCTCAGGCATGATGTTGGGGATAATGAAAGGTGCTGAAGAATGCAAGATAACATTTAAATGCCAAGACCAGGGACATCTTGTTTTAGAATGCAGACCAGTGTGACCTATCTTATCTTCTATTAGTAGTCCACACGATTAGAATTCTTTCCCGCATTGTTTATCACTAATTTTAATTCTCTTTTTCTGATATATGCTTTATGCATGCACGAAGAATGGGGAGGATGGTTAGATTTGTTGTTTTGACATTTCCTTTCCTATTTAGTTGATTTTTTCTTACTGTTTACTTTAACAGGCCATATTCAAGTGAAGGCAAGACAGAGAAGCACAAAATCTTTTGAGGGTATCTGTTTATGCTTTCTTCTTCATCACCAAGTTGCTTTGAATTGTTAAAAGAAACTTGTTAACTAATCTTGCTGATTTATTTGGCAAATCTACTACATAAAGCAGTTGGTACAATATTTTAACCGTTGCCCACGAGCCAATTTTGATGAAGTAAGTAGTACTCGGAAGTCACTTTGTGGCATTAGTTTGTCTTGAACCCCACAAAAAAGAATCGTTTTTGCATATTTTAGAATTAGATAACGTTTTATATATATTAAATAAAATGTTTATACACATGAAAACTTATTAAGTAGTTATTAATGAGTAAAATTTAGGTGATATTTGTGTGTCCAAAATTTATTTAGTTTAACATATATAGAGAAAAACAGAAGAATTCACAAAAATTAAAAATAGGGAATTGGATTTTTTTTATGGAAAGAAAGAAACAGGTAGTCAAGAAAGCAAAGGCAGCCCGACTTGAACCCCCCATGGTATTTACATTTAAAAGCTTCAATTTTTTTTAATTTCTATTATAAACTTTCAAATAATATCTGATTTTTTATTATTGTCCTCGTAGTTCTTTTTTTTAGAGAGGAAATTTTATTCCGTCAAGTTTCTCTCTCTCTCTCTCTCTTGATCTATTTTCTGTCCCTTTAAAAGTTTTTTCTATTTTTGGGTTCGTGTCAACAATGTTTGAATGATTGATTTTGTGCTTATGGGGAAAAACAGAAGGATTCACCAAAATGAAAAATAGTGTGATGAATTTTTTGATGAAAAAAGAAAAACAGGTAATCAGGAAGCAAAGGCAGCCTGACTTAGACCCCCCTCTTGTGGTTTTTGGATGACGTTTGATAGATGATCGTCCTTGGTATTTACATTTAAATGCTTGCTTCCTTTTTTTAATTTATTCATTTTGTTTTATTAATTTATGTTGCAAACTTTCAAATATTATCATCAGATTTTTTACTATTTTTTTTGTTTTTTTTAAATTATTATTCTGTCAAATTTTTTATGTCTCCTATGTTTTATTTATGTCCCTTAAGAAGAAATTTTTTTTGGGTAGGTGTCAACAATTGTTGAATGATTGATTTTTTGTTTATTGGGAAAACAGAGGGATTTACAATAATAAAAAATATGGAGATTAATTTTTTTGATGAAAAGGAAAGGAGCATGTAAGCAAATGAAGCAAAGGCAGACAGACATCCCCTCTGATTTTATTTGGATGGCGTTTGATCGGTGATCTTCCATGGTATTTATTTTTAAAAGCTTCCTTCCTTTTTTTTATCAATTGTTTTTACAAATTTTTAAATGATATTTGAATTTTTATTATTGACCTCGTAGTTTATTTTTTTTTTAAAATTATTACTTTCAAATTTCCCTCTCTCTCTCTTTCTGTCTTTTATTCTATTTTTTGGGAACTTATTAACAGTTGTTAAATGGTTAATTTTGTGTTTATGGGGGAAAATGGAAGGATTCACAAAAATTAAAAATAGGGGGATGAATTTTTTGAAGAAAAAGAAAGAAACAGGTAGTCAAGGAAGCAAAGGCAGACCGACCTGACCCCCTCTGGTGGTTTTTGGATGGCATTTGATATATGGTCATTCATGGTATTTACTAATTTTCTTTATCAATTTATATTATAAACTTTAAAATAATATTTGATTTGTTATTGTTGATGTTGTAGTTTTTTCTTAAAAAAATTATTGTTGAGTGAAAATTTTTCTTTTAAATGATATTCTTGTAACGGCCCCGGAAAATATTAAAAAAAAGAAATGAGTATTTAAATATATCGAATGCGGAAGCAAGATCAAAATTTCAGTTAACATCCCTTACACGAAAAAAACCCAAAAAAACGTACTTAAAATATAAAAGGTTAAACTAACTAAGAAAGAAAACTCGAAAATAAACTATGCGTATGACTACAGAGTCTCTAGGCATCCCCTTCGTCGTCCTCCTGCGGAACGGGCTCGGGAACCATGTCTTCCTGATCTGAAATGGTTAATTAAGGAGTGAGCTACACTAGCCCAGTAAGAACATCACGATATCTCACCGTCACGGAGATAAAGGTGGGTAGAAAACCACAAAAAGACCAATGGAGCATAATTTACAATAAACTCGTTTATTAACATGAAAACCTTTACCATCCACTTACCTCGGTGGAATTTATGAAAACAATATAAGAAAAATAATAACATTATCACAATCATGGAATAATATAAGCTGTAAAACATAGCACTTATCACGCCTTTTATAATTCAATCATTATACAACATATCTTTTTCTCATTTACCAGCCTACTAGTATCCATGGGGGTCCCTAGGGGTCCCGCTACCCGTTAACCTTTAACATTCATAATCAGTTTCCAGGGCCGTCACCATACCCCGTCCGGTATGGGCGCCAAAACCATAAACCTCAATACCCCGTCCGGTATGAGGGTGAAACGGGCCGTCCCCATACCCCGTCCGGTATGGGCGCCAAAACCATAAGATCTCCATGCCCCGTCCGGCATGTGAGACCACAATCCCGGTAGGGTTCCCTACGGACCCGGTCGTCACATCTCCAGGATATCTAGTCAGGCTGACCCATCA